CACTTCAGTAGTGTTTTTGGAAAAGCGCTATTAAAAAAGTGGTACTTTAATAGCATTTTCAAAGCACTATTAAACAAAAACATTTACAATAGCAGCATGGTTAATAATACTTTTAAGCGCTATCAAAAATAAAAAGCGCTATTAAATAGATTTTTTGGCATAGTGTGTATACCCTGACATAGGCAGAGTATGTAGTATGGAGTAAATGAAAGAAGGATAGTAAGATTAATTTCCAACATAAAATTGAATAAGAGAAAACTAGATACATATGTTATATTTATCATATGAAAATATATCAGGCATATGGGTGGGTAATAGCAGCAAGATAAATACCAAAGTTATATATGCACTTAAATGATGAAAGTGCTTTGTGACAGAGTCCATACTCCATCGTCATAGACAATTCTTCTTTAGAATAAGCAAGCTAACTGTATCGAATATTAGCATCTCCGTGAATTCCTTTTGTTTTTGTTAGATTTCGAATCATACTTCTGTATAAAATTTCTGTATATTGCTCTTATCAAATAAATTACACACTTGGTCTTTTATAGACCCAAATAAAACTTTTATAATTCTAAAACATAAACATAACTGCTACTAATAACTATCATAACTTACTAAACTATTGTCCTTCCTACTACCATAATTAAATGCAAAGCTTATTACTAACACATTTAATGTTTATTCAACAAAACTCCTCTGTAAACTTAAATGCTTCTTCTATCCAGCATTCCTATCATCTTCTTGCCTCTGTCGAAGACTTCTTTCGATAGTGGTTTTGTGAAGATATCCGCTGCTTGGTTTCTACTTGCTACATGCCTTAATTCGACGCTTCCCTCCTTCACATGCACGAATGAAGTGAAATCGAACGTCTATATGTTTTCTTCGTTCATGATTCACTGGATTCCTTGCCAATTCGATAGTTGATTTATTATCCACTTGTATTATTGTTGGACCTCCCTGTTTCAGCTCCGTCTTGCTTATCAACCTTCTGAGCCATACTGCATGACAAATGCACCAGGATGTTGCCACATATTCTGCTTCATACGTCGAAAGTGTCACTATAGGCTGCTTCTTCGATAGCCAAGTAAAAGTTGTGTTTCCCATGAAAAACACATATCCAGCAGTGCTCTTTCGATCGTCTATGTCTCCACACCAGTCACTATCAGAATAACCAACTAACTTGTAGTCTTCTGTCTTTGAATAAAACATCCCAAGTGATACTGTTCCTTGGATGTATCTTAGAATTCGTTTCAGTGCCTTCCAATGTGTGTGTACTGGCTCCTCCATGAATCGACTCACTATGCCAGCACTTAGTGAAATATCTGGCCTTGTGCATGTGAGATATCGAAGGCTACCTACCAAGCTTTGATATTTGCTTCCTTCGACCCGTTCTCCTCCATTAAACTTTGACAGCTTTGTACCTGGTTCCATTGGCGTCGAGGTTGGATTGCAATTCTTCATTTTATATTTTTCTAAGATTTCCTTTGCATACTTTTCTTGTGATATGAAAATTCCAGCTTCTTCTTGTCGAACCTCCAGACCAAGAAAGAATTTCATCAGACCTAAGTCTGTCATTTCGAATTCGCTTGTCATGGTGCTTTTGAAGTCTTCGATCATCTGAACATTACTGCCTAGAAAGATAAGATCATCAACATAAAGAGCAACAAGTAATAAATCACTTCCATTTTTCTTCACATAGAGGGCTGGTTCATAAGGACATTGCTCGAATCCATTCTCCTTAAAATATGTGTCAATACGCGTGTTCCATGCCCTAGGTGCTTGCTTTAGCCCATACAGTGATTTCTTCAGTTTCAACACCTTCTTCTCTTCTCCAGTTCTCATATATCCAAGTGGTTGTTCGACATAAATTTCTTCTTCGAGCACACCATTCAAAAATGTTGTCTTGACATCCATTTGAAATATTGGCCATTTGAACTGAGCAGCTTGAGAAATGAGTAATCGAATTGTCTCCATTCTTGCAACAGGCGCAAACACTTCGTCATAGTCAATTCCTGCCTTCTGTTTGTATCCCTTCGCAACCAGCCGTGCTTTGAATCTTTTAATTTCTCCTTGAGCATTCATCTTTTTCTTGAATACCCACTTTACACCAATGGGTTGACTACCTTTTGGTAATTCGACTAGCTCCCAAGTATTGCTGCGTTTGTTTGCTCTAATTTCTTCGTCCATGGAACTTTTCCACTTCTTATCTCTTAACGCTTCTTCAACGCTGATGTTTTCAGCATCTGCCAGAAGACACACAAGATGTACCTTACTTGTTGAATCATACAAATCTTGCAAACTTCTCATTTTGGATTGTATAGGTTCATCTCCATCTTCTGTTTCTTCATGTTCTTCTGGAATACTTGTTGGTACAACTATAGTTGTTTCTTCGACTGTGTCAGCAATCTCTGTCAAATTTTTCCAGTCCCACTTGCTTGCTTCGTTCATTCGAACGTCTCTGCTCACGGTCACTTTCTTGCTTATGGGATTGAAGAGCTTGTACCCTTTCGTCTTCTCATCATATCCAATGAATATGTACTTCTGACTTTTGTCTTCAAGCTTTGTTCTTTGTTGATCTGGTACATGTGCATAAGCTATGCTACCAAATACCTTGAGATGAGAAATTGTTGGCTTCTGTCCACTCCATGCTTCTTGTGGTGTTTTGTCTTCTAACTTTGAATGTGGACATCTATTCTGAATATAAACAGCACATTGTACTGCTTCTGCCCAGAATTCTTTCGACATGTTCTTGCTTTTGAGCATTGATCGAACCATGTCAAAAATAGTTTGATTCTTCCTTTCAGCCACACCATTTTGCTGAGGTGAATATGGTGCAGTTAGGAATCTCCTTATGCCCTGTTCTTCACAGTACTTCACAAAGGCCATCGAAGTATACTCTCCTCCTCTGTCAGATCGAATTGCTTTGATTTGTCTGTCTGTTGCCTTCTCCACCATTACTTTGAACCTTTTGAACACTTCTAATGCTTCAGATTTTTCTTTCAGGAAGTAGACCCAGGTTTTTCTTGAGAAGTCATCAATGAAGGAAATGAAGTACCTTTTTCCACTGAAGGATTCTGGAGTGATTGACCCACATATGTCAGTATGTATCAATTCGAGTATATGTTTAGCTTGATACTTTGCCTTCTTTTGAAATGAGGTTCTTGTTTGTTTGCTGAGCACATATTCTTCACAGAATTTTCCTTCGAAATCCATGTCTGGTAGTCCATGCACCATGTTCCTTTTCGCCAACCTTCTCAAACCAGCATGATGTAGATGACTAAAGCGCATGTGCCATAGTGACGCTTTGTCTTGCACTTTGATTTGCAGACATTTCTCTCAAATGTTCCTCAGGTTCAGTTTGTACATTTGATTCCTTTCCATTTCGACAGCGGCAATCAGATATCCTGCTTTGTCCTTCAACTGCAGTGTTCGATCTTTCATCAGTATCGAAGCACCTTTTTCTGTAAGTTGTCCCAGACTTAATATGTTGGTCTTAAGATCTGGTACATAGTAAACGTCTTCGATTGATCCAATCAAGCCATCCTTCTGTAAGTAACTGATTGTGCCCTTTCCTTTAACCTTCACTTTCGATGCATCTCCAAAAGACACACTACCATCTTCAATTCCCTTCATGTCTTTAAACAGGTGTTTGTAACCACACATGTGATTACTTGCTCCTGAGTCAAGATACCAAACACTATCATTGGTGTTGATTTCATTTTGAGCCATCAGGAGAAAGCCTTCATTTGATTCAGCTTCCAAGGCTAGGTTGGTTGTCTCTTCAGTCTTCTTTTCATTTCGACAGTCTTTTGCAAGATGTCCCACTTTGTCACAGTTGTAACATTTGTAGGAGTTGCAATCCTTCGCGTGATGACCATACTTCCCACACTTGTAGCATTCGAAGTTGGAGTAATTCGAACGACCACCTCTTTGACCACGTCCTCTGCCACGCCAATTTTGTTGGCTCGAATGTCCTCTTTCAAAGTTGCTACCTCTACCACTTCGAACACTGTCACGACCTCCACGTCCACGTCCTCTTCCTCGAAAGTTTTGAGAAAAGAGTACCTTTTCATCTTTGTTCGATTCCTTGGTTTGGTTTGCTTCTTCGTCTACTTCTTCTTTCTTTTTCATCTTTCGTTGTTCATGTGCTTCGAGCGAACCAGTGAGCTCTTCAATTGAGAGCGTCGAAAGGTCCTTCGACTCTTCTATTGCACACACAATATTTTCAAATTTGTCTGTTAAAGATCTCAAGATCTTTTCAACAACTCTTGCATCAGCTATTGTCTCTCCATTTCTTGTGAGTTGATTCACCACCTTTTGCACACGTGTGATGTAATCAGATACAATTTCTGTATCCTTCATTTGTATCCTCGCCACGAAGAGTTTGGATTCAAACCTGCTTCACTCGATCTGCTCCTTTGAACACCTTTTCTAACGTGTCCCACGCTTGTTTCGACGTAGTCGAACCAGCAATCTTTTCAAAGCCTGATTCATCTACAGCCCTGAACAACATGTATAATGTCGTTTTGTCCTTCACTCGCGTCTCTTTCAACGCCTTCGTTTGAGCTGCTGTAAATCCCCCAACTTCTGTTGGTTCTTCAAACCCATCATGGGTCACCTCCCACGCGTCTAGAGATCCAAGAAGAGCTTTCATTTGGATACTCCAATTTTCATAATTGGACTTCGTTAGCCGTGGTAACGGCATTTGGTTCATCATGTTTGCCATGAGCTCTGATGCCAAATTGTTAGATTTTGAATCAGACTTCTGTTTAAAATTTCTGTATATTGCTCTTATCAAATAAATTACACACCTGGTCTTTTATAAACCCAAATAAAACTTTTACAATTCTAAAACATAAACATAACTGCTACTAATAACTATCAGAACTTACTAAAATATTGTCCTTCCTACTACCATAATTAAATGCAAAACTTATTACTAACACATTTAATGTTTATTCAACAGTTTTATCAGCTTGCTTTTGGAATAACTGTAGTCACACTTGCACTAAGATGTCTGAGTTGCGGTAAATATCAACGGTGTCCCCTTCATTATCCTTGAAAGTAGTCATTCCTGTGAGAAATATTTTATGTAAAAAATCCACATCCAAAATTCCATATCCAGGTTCAATACAAGCATCTAAATCTTTGTATATGTCTTGGTTAGCAGTTGGCCAATGTTTCCATTTCCCACTGTTAGTGGTATCATGATTATGATCATGATCATCTACATCCGTAGCTAAAGCATTAGACTCCCCAATATTCTCCCTCAATTTGGATTCATCAGCCCCGTTGAGATGAATTGATAAATGTAATTTAAGTTCATATGTCTCTTCTGTTCCATGACTTTCCTCGTCCTCCCGTTCGTCTAAGATATTGGGTTCTTCATCATAACTAACAAAAATTTTAGGTTAAAAATAACTCCCGACCTCATCAATCCAAATAATGGATTGTTGCAAACCCATCTTCAAATTCACATTATACATATGCAAAAAGTTTAACCTAACTTTTTGGCCATCCAACTCTACCTCCATAGTTTCCTTTTTTTATTTCAAAATCTTTCTTAACCAAGCCATTAACATCTTCAGGATAATTCCACCACTCACCATTTTTATAAAACAACAAATATTTGGATAATCCAATTTTCTTATAGTTAAAATGATACTTAACCAAGGACCTTGAAATATCAAGACCAGATTTTGCTGGTTGGCCGCCATCTCCAATTAATCTCATTTTTTTGATAACCAAGTTTGTTAGTGTCAAAACTTTCGTCAAATGTTCAACACATTGGGTAGTCAATTTTCTCTTATGATTGAGTGCAGCTCCATCCAATACCTTTACAGAGTTGTCTACAATTTTTCTCTATAACATCACTACGTCAAAAAGGGCTTTTAACAGTGCACATTAGACAACGCTTTTATACAAAAGCGCTGCTATAAGTGAATTTAAAGAAAACACGGAAATTGTATACAATAATAAATAAAAGTGCGGTTAAAAATGTGACCTTAGACAACGCTTTTAAAAAGCGCTGCCAAAAGTGTTGCTTTAAAAGTACTTTATCAAAAGCGCTGCTCTATAGGTTCAATTTGCTATAGAAAAAATGGGTCAAAATGTGTTGATGCTAATTGGACTTGGACTATTTTAAACATATCGATTCACATTTTCTCAAGCATGAAATATGTAAGTGCAACGTGATTAAGTAAGATATATGACAACATAAAGACGAATGAATAAATATCATACCTAATTTATTATTAGCAGTGCACTTCTAGGGTTCTGGAATTAAGAAATTGCAAGCTCTTTTTTATTTTAACAAATGGTGTAATTTAAATTGCTATTGATTAAGAAAAATGGGTGGAATCCAATAAGTTATTTTTTTACTCGAAGTTAAGAAAGACTAAAATCGTAGTGAAATATAAATTTTAATAATATATTCTCTTTTCACTACAATTTTGAGGAAAAGAAATAAAGATCACCACTTATATCTTTTCAATAATCGTGTGATGCAACGAGATCTCAAACCTTAAAGGTTAAACTTTTTTTCTTTTAGAATCTCTATTTACTTTCACTCTTTAGATCTCGACAAAAGGCTTAAGTTCATAAACTAAAATAAAATAAAATATGGAATTAGTCATTTAAAACTAATTTGAAATATAGGCGAAAAAAGAATCATATACCTAATTTCTTACTGATGTTGAGCGTCTGGGAAAAATGAAGGTCTGCAATTCTCAAGATCTCAAACCCCGTCGATTGATTTTCCTCCTCTTGAAATTTTTATTTGTTTTCACCATTGAGCACTAGACAACAAGCTCAGATTCTCAAACTAGTTGGAAAAAAATATGCAATCAGAATTTTAAAATAATGACTTAAAATAAAGATGAATGAGTTGTTGGAAATCCACCAAATTCTATGATGAATTTCTACCACAATGACAATTTAATTATGAGACAAACAAAGAAAAGAAGACAAGACAAATAATTTATGCAGAGTTTCTCTCTGCTCACAAACTGTGAAAACTTTCTTATTCACTTTGCAACTGCAAAATACTGTGAATGACTTGTTTGACTTGCTTACAAAAATAGGGATTACTCCCTCTATTTGTAACTGAGCTTACACCATAAGCCCAAAGTATCTTTTTGTTACTAAATCAAATCTAATTTATTCTAGACTTAAATCAAATCTATTTAAATCTAAAACAAATCAAATCTTTTTGACACATAGTTTCGACACGCTGGATTACAATTTAACACACCACCTAATTCATTGTGTCTAAACTATCTATGTTCATCATGACTCTTAGTCTTCTGAATACTTCGACTTGAACTCCCTTCGTCATGATGTCTGCAATCTGATTCTCAGTTCTACAGTGTTCCAAATTCATCTTCATATCTGCTACCTGCTCTCGAAGATAATGGAACCTCATTTCGATGTGCTTACTTCGACCATGTGCTATTGGGTTCTTCGCCAGATTGATAGCTGACATGCTGTCGTTCTTCATGGTAATTGCTCCATGATCTTTCCCTGTTATCTCTTCGACCAAGTTCACCATCTAAGTTGCTTGACATGCACAAAGAGAAGCAGCTATGTATTCTGCTTCGCATGATGATAATGTCACTACTGATTCCTTTCTTGAATTCCAAGCAACTGGTGCACCACCTAGCATAAACACATATCCTGATGTTGACTTTCGATCTTCAGCATCACTACACCAACTCGAATCAGTGTATCCTGCTAACTTGCATTCTTTTCCTTTATCAGTTGTAGGAAACAAAATGCCATAATCGAAAGTTCCTTTGAGATACCTTAATATCCTCTTCACTGCTGCTAGATGTGATACCTTTGGCTTCTGCATGAATCTACTTACCATACCTACACTATATGCTAAGTCAGGCCTTGTATGACAAAGGTATCTCAATGATCCAATAAGTCTTCTGTATTGGGTTGGATCAACATCATCTTCATCTGCATCTTTCGACAATTGCAGTCTTGGTTCTGTAGGTGTCGAAGTTGAGTTGCATTCTTCCATCTCAAATCTCTTGATAATTTCTCCTGTATATCTTCTTTGATGCATCATCAAACCTCTACTACTCTTGTAGAATTCGATGCCAAGGAAATATGAAATCTCACCCAAATCAGACGTTTCGAATTCCTTGCTGAGATCACCTTTGAAGTCTTTGATCTCACTTTTACAGCTACCTGTTATCAACAAATCATCTACATAGAGACATAGTATAAGCAATTCACTATTGCTTCTTCTTACATATACTCCATATTCAGTTGTGCATTTTACAAATTCCTTCTCTCTTAGGAAACTATCAATTTTCTTATTCCAAGCTCTTGGAGCTTGTTTCAATCCATACAAGGCTTTATGCAGCCTGTACACCTTTCTTTCTTGGTCATGTTTCACAAACCCAACTGGTTGTTTAACATAGACTTCTTCATCTAAGGGTCCATTTAGGAATACACACTTCACGTCCATCTGACATATATGCCAACTGTTTATTTCTGCTAGACCAACAACCAACCTGATTGTTTCGATCCTAGCAACAGGTGCAAAAACTTCATTGAAGTCTATTCCTTCTTTCTGTAGAAATCCTTTCGCCACAAGTCTTGCTTTGTGTCGAGTTACTTCACCTTTCGAATTTGTTTTCACTTTGTATACCCACTTGACATCAATTTCCTTCTTGCCTTGAGGCAATTCGACAAGTGACCAAGTGTTGTTGTCTTCGATAGACTTTACTTCTTCGTTCATTGCTTTCACCCACTTCGAATCCTTTAATGCTTCAGCTGCATTAACAAGTTCGGCATCTGCATAGAAAGCATACTCACCTTCATTATCTATCACATCATCTGATGTAATCACACAATCTTGTAATCTTGCAGGCATGCGTCTTATTCTTTGAGGGCTGCTTGTACTTGGTATATCTGTTGGTTCCTCTTGTCGAACTTCTCTTTCGATTTGAGTTTCTGGCTCTTCAATAAGGATTCCCACTGAATCTTTCTTGACATTATCAGTCAAATCCCATTCTTTAAACTCATCTATAATCACGTTCCTGCTGATCACAATCTTCTTGTTCTCTGGATCGAACAACTTGTAACCTCCTGTCGAATGATATCCAACTAGAATCATTTGACTTGACTTATCATCAAGTTTTCTTCTCAACTGATATGGCACATGTCTATGCGCAATAGATCCAAATACCTTCAGATGACTCAAGCTAGGCTTCACACCAGACCAACATTCTTCTGGAGTAATTCCTTTAAGCTTCTTTGTAGGACATATGTTCAAAATGTATGTTGCAGTCAAAACAACTTCACCCCAAAACTCTTTAGGTAAATTCTTGCCTTTCAACATATTTCTCACCATATTCATGATGGATCGATTCTTCCTTTCTGCAATTCCATTTTGTTGTGGAGTATAGGGTGGCACCACCTCATGCACAATCCCTTCCTTTTCACATAGCCTGTCGAAGTCTTTCGACACATATTCTCCACCATCATCAGTTCTCAAAACTTTAAGCTTTCGACCACTTTGTCTTTCGAACATAGACTTAAACTTGGCAAATACTTCGATCACTTCACTTTTCTTCTTGATCAGGTAAGTCCATAGCTTTTGACTGAAATCATCTATGAATGTAACAAAGTATTTGTTACCTCCCGTCGAATCCACCTGGATTGGTCCACATAAATTAGAGTATATGACTTCAAGAATAGCCTTCGATATGCTTCCTGCATCCTTGCTGAAGCTATTCTTGTGTTTCTTGGCCTGCACACATTCCTCACATACTTAGTTTGGAATATCAATTTCAAGCAATCCTGAAGCCATATTTTTTCTCTTCAAATCTCTGATGTCTCTGAAGTTGAGATGACCTAGTCTATAATGCCATATCCATTCATCTCTGCTAGCTGCAGTCGAAAGGCACTTGCGCTTCATCACATTTAATTCAATCATGAATGTTCGATTCTGAGACATAGGAGCCTTCAAGATTAATCTCCCATTTGCATCAACGACTCTCATCATCTTATCTTTGATTGACACTTTATAATTCTTTTCGACCAACTGCCCTATACTAAGCAAATTGCTCTTCATGCCTAGTATGTACAATACATTGGAAATTACTGACCTCTTGCCATCTTTCCTCATGATCATAACATCACCAATACCTTCAGCTTCTAGGGTATTGTCATTTGCAAATTTTACCATATTTTTCATTGAGGGCTTTATATTGATAAACCAGTCTTTCCTTCCAGACATATGTGATGAACATCCTGAGTCCAAGTACCATTGGTCCTTGAATCTATCTTCATCTCTTATTGTGACCATCAACATCATCTCTTCTTCTTCATGTTTTGCAAGCTTTGCATCACTTTCTTGATTCTTTCATTTTTCTGGACAATCACTCGCATAGTGTCCATACTTCTGACAATTGTAACATTGAATGTGACTCTTATCCGGTTTTCGACCACCACCTCTTCCTCTATTTGCAACACCACCTCTTTGGTTGCCTTGGTATGATCTTCTTTGATTCGATACGTTTCCTTCGATTTGTTGTAGCCACCTCTACCTCTGTCGAAACACTTTCCTTTTCCTTTGGTCTCTTTTGCTGACTGTGCCTACAGGGCCACATCACTCTTGGATTTGCATGCAGCTCTTTCGTTCATTCTTTGTTCATGAGATTCAAGCGTCCCTTGAAGCTGTTCCTTTATCAATTTCGACAAGTCTTTCCCCTCTT